TAATGTTAATAAGTCTTTAATGAATTCTTAAATATTTAATGATTCATTAAGTAATAAGACTCTACGAAGGGTTTTGTACAACACACTTTAATGACTTTATTAACTAATGTATCATTAAGAATTTAATGAATCATAAGGCTTAATGATTCATTTATTTTAATGAACCATTGATACAACCGGGTCCTGTACATTTATTAAATCTGGAATTTTCCAAGGATTCCGAGTACTGGAAATGGGGGACTGCATGGATAAGATGATTAAGCAAGTCGTCAAGGGGGATGTCCCCATATCAATCAAGATTATGAAAAAAATGCGTTTCTTTTTGGAAATCAACCAATGAGAAGCGAGCATACAAACCTCCGGCATAAGATTCTGTAAAATAAGAATTTTATAATGATAGAAAATTTGGTAAAAATGATTTTCAAGTTCAATTTTATTTTTTCAGTTATTAATATCCCTTGAAATTTGTAATTCATCAATAATATTTTAATCATAATCTTTATACCTTAGAACAATGACATTTATGGAAAAAAGTCTCATATTATCTAAAAAATATTATCTCGTTTTGTGATTTTGTATAGTATGTATTTTTTTTCTTCAAATAGACATTATCAGAAATTAGTAACGAATGAATGATTTCTAATTTTCATTTATTATGCATTTGTTAACTTAAATACTTCTTTTAATTTAATTATATCTTTTGAATTCGTGAGGATCACAAACTCATTTGTGGATTTTAAAATTATTATCAAAGACAAACCATGCTTACTAGGGTTCAATATCAAATTCAACATAAGAAGACAACTGACGCATATTTCAAGTTTTTATTGGTTTATTGGCGGTTATGACAATGGATACACTCATAATTACTGCAAGTAAAAATCGGAAAATGATCCAAGGTGAACCCTGGAAAACAGATGAACACCCGGATATGAAATTAATGATCATGTTCTTTAATGTTTCTGAATAAATTTAATTGAAAAATCCAGGTGAGCACTACTTGTAAGCTGAATATCCGTTCACTCCAGATATCAGCAGCCGCGACGGAGGGAACGGCTCTCATGGTAGGGTTTTACCTGAAAAATACACAAAAACGAATTAGCAAGATACATTTGTAAAATAAATACAGCCTATAGTTCAAGTACTCTGAAAAAATCTATAATTTTAAGCTAAAACTATTTTTAAGGAAGGGTTTGTTGGGTGAATTTTCACGTGCTGAATGCTAGAAGTGTATGCCGGGAGACTGTAGGATGGCCGTGATGTGACATCTTACGACTTACGTGTGACCCGACAAATGAATAAAATCCTATCATTTTTTAAAAGTTTCTGACAATTCAACTTAAACATTGTATGACTATGTACAAGGACAATTTCATTAATGTAACTTTGGGAATGTCCCTGATAAATTTTCTCTTTGTCCTTTCAAACATTTTTTGCTTTTATCTTAAATATCAAATATTTAATTATTTATATATATAAAACACTACTTTTAATAATTTTCTAACTAGTTACACACAAAGACTAGAATTTGTACATTTGAAATCTCCAAACGTAGACTGTTCTAAAATTACATAATTTGATCTATGAAGTCATTTTCGTTAAAAAGTAAATTTCCTTCTATTTTATGTTTGCAAAAAGCTCATGAAATAAAAAAAATGGTAAATTTCTATTTTTATGACGTTAAGATAAAGTGTATGTTGCAAAACAGTTCAGTAAGTTGTAAATAGTTATTTGCTACAAAAGAATAAGAAATTAAATGTATATTAGCAGATATTGACAAATATCCTTATACAATATCTTTGTTGTATCTACATAACATTAATATATCATCTTTGTTGTATTATTAAGGTCATAGGGGTCGTGAGGTTCAGTTCAGCTGTATAGCTTTCGGTAGGGAAGTCCAACTTCTCTTTGAGCCCTATAACTCTGTACTTAGGTATACCTATCCACATCATCACAAAATTTATAATATATACATGTACATATATTGTCTCATTTAATTCAATCTTCTCTATACATGAAATGTTAATAAATAAATTCGGTTATGTCGTATTTTTAAAATAAATATTTTTTTATAAATCACAATACCTTAAATTTATGTAAATACCCTTCTTTAGTTTTGGGGGGATTTTATATAAGATGAAATCCATTTAACATTTCTTTTAATATTTTGATCATCTTTATATGTGTACATAAAATACTTATAAAGCATTGGAAAAAAAAACTTATTAAATTAATTATGAAATTAAAAAAAAATACATGTTATATACAACAGATGACAATGTTTTCGCGACATTTTATTTTTCGCGAGAGAGACACTTGCTCTTCATAAGTAAGACAACATGTTCACAAATTTAAATAACTGTTCTATATAATCTCTAGAAAGCGATAATTATATATTCACAAGCACATGGTCTCGAGCAAGGACGCGGAAAAGTTCTCGCGAATAAAAATTGAATAAACAGTAGATGTTCTAACATCATGTTTACATTTGTTGTTTGTATTATATACATGTATAATATACCACTATTAGGCATTTCTTTCCTGTCTTGTAACTCTATTTCATGTGCTTTTTTCTTTCTTGATTTTCTACAAAATATTGAAAAAAAAATTAAAATTCTGCAAATAAAATCTGTATCTGGATGTATAAAATTAATCACTTAATTAGGACTGGACTAACCTGGCCATGACAACCACTAGTACGATGACGACTATGACGAATATGACAAAGAAAGCAGCTACCCCTGCATCTGTCTGTATCAAATCCTGTACCTGGCTTTCTGCAACTGTATTATTACTTTTATAGTAACGTAAATAAAACTATATTTATTTAAAACACTTTTTTTTTATTTCTGAGAATCCAATTTTCAATACAGGAAGTGAGGAACAGAACATCTGATAAAACCCTTAAAACCGAAGTCCTGTTTTACAGTAAATAGTTACACCTATAAAAAAAACATGAAACGCAACTCAAAGAAAACAAAGGGCAGTTTGAATCCTTTAATAAAAAGTTATGTCCTATCGATTGAGAGAGAGAGAGAGAGAGAGAGAGAGATCTAGACCGGACGTTTAATAATCAAACGTATTTTAAACAGAAATAGCTTAACTTTGATGCCAACGACAATATACCAGTAAATCACCAAATAAAAAAAAACAACTTAGAATAAGTTTTTCGGTTTTTTTTTTTTAGCAAAAAGTCGCATAATTTTGGATATATAAAGTAATAGTCAAGAAAGATACAGTCATGTACCTAAGCCATAAAAAATTTAAAAACCCAGAACTTTTTTTTTTTTTATTTTTTTTATATAATTTTTACTATTGACCAGTAAAGAAAATTTTGATTCAGATAAGATTACTCAATTGTTTTGTATTTGATTTTCTACTTTACAAACAGAACATCAAGATTAAAATCGACATTTATGATCGAGAAGTAAATTAAGAAAGTAAACTTTTATATGTCGCTGACTATACTGTACCGGTTATATTGCAAAATTCCCCAATGAATCCGTCATGACAAAGGTCACAGGTTCCATTTATCTTATTGCAGAGGGAAAAACAACCTTTTGAACAGGTAAAATTGCAGCGTAATCCAAACGTACCGTTGTCACATTCTGAAATAAATGCATATTTTTTCCTTGAAGATAATTGATTTTTGCCAGCAAAAGGAGAAGTTTCAAAGTTCAACTTTTAGAATTTTTGCCTTAGGATACATTGAGATACAATTTCAAATCGTTGTTTCTAAAAAGACAACCTGTGTCACATTTTTCTGTCTGAAAACCAGGTGCACACAAATTTGGACATGATCCATGGATGTGATTACAGGTGTCATTACCGCCGCAGTTGCCGCATATTTCATCGCATTCTTTCCCGTAAGAACCCGTAGGACATTCTTCAATAAAATTCATCAAATGTACCAAGATATATTCCTCCATACACATTTAGCTTTTAAATATTCTAGGGTATCACTGTTTTATAAGGAAGGGTTGTCTCAAGTAAAAAAAATCGCATTATATTCTAAAATATTTTACATCAAATAGTGCATTAATAACAAATTTTCGCTTTGTCCTTTATCCATGTGCGGACAAGTTCTTTTGCGAGCGCGCTATTCAAGGAGCACTACTGTTCTAAAAAAATATTTTTTTCTGGATTAAAGTTTTAATATTTCCCATTAAAAAAAAAATTCTGGATTAAAGGCACTATTTTTAATATTTCTGGATTACATTAATACACAACAAAATTGTTGCTTTTCCTAACGATTATGAATAAAGTTAAAATTTGTGAAAGTGAAATGATGTGTCAATCAAACCCACCAAAAAATTAGAAGTTTAATAACTTTTAAATGCAATAAGTTTTTTAATTAATTTTTGTGTGAAATGCTATGAAAATATATAATTTGTGACATTATACAAAATGTTTTATCTTTAAGTCTGTGTCCAGGCACCTTTAAGGCGCTCTGTTTACAGAAAAGTTATTGATTAAAGACAAAAAAAATATTTGGGATAATGGTCTTTTACTTATTATTAAATAGAGGAAGGGTTCAATTTTTTTAACATCAAATATGAGCTTTGAAAATTGATTGCTGTATTCTCTAAGCAAAAAATCAAAAAAATGTAAAGACATTGTATATATACTATTCATCCTTCAAAATAAATAAATGCAACTACAAATAAAGATATTTAACACACAGGGATACTCATACTCGTGAACAATCGAAAATATAACTCTATCGCTTTATCATTGACATTGTTCGTTTAAAAACATATATAATTAGTGCTATAGATCCCCTTTCCCATTCTACAAAAATATTTTAAAAAAACGAAGAAAAAACTCATCAGGTCAAATGAAAATAACTTAGATATGCCCATTCTTTTAAAAATCATTTAAATGATACAATTCAGCCATCAAACATTTAGAGAAAAATATGCTTTGTAGATAAGAAAGAATTTCCTACATGTATTTCTTTTCTCTGCATATTTAATAATTTCATCTAGTTGACTTACCTTCATTGCACTTATCCTTTGTCCATCCATCTGCACACTCTTCAATACAGATTCCATCATCTTTTTTGCACGGCAATCCACCTGTACAATGCCCACTGCAATTGTACATACAGTGTTCTCCAAATGTACCATTATCGCATTCTAAAAGCAAATATTTCAAAAATATCTCTCTGTGATTAAGGATTCTGCATTCCTAGCACAAATAAATCATGATTGTTTTAAAATTCTAGACATAATAAAGAATATATAAAATTATTTGTTCCCTTTAAGTGTATATAGAAACGAAATACACAAAATCTTTATGAATAAGTATGCCTGTGTTAAGTTTGTACAGGCATATTTACATATTATCTGTTGATATAAACTAAAGCAGTTTATGAACATGTACCTGCCTATAAAACAATGTAGTGTCTAAAATCTATTCATAAATCATGGCAATTAAAAATATTAAAACCAAGAGTAATTTTATTCAAAATAGGTTAAGAAAAGTAATGAACAAAACATGAATTATATGTCACGTGACGAGAAAATTATATTTATATATATATATTACTTAATAATTATGTTAACTTAAAAACATGGCACACAAAAAATCCCAACAATGTATTTTTTGAAACTTCCTTAATAAGCTAAAATTCATATAAAAATATTTACTTTTCTTGCGTCAATTAAATCATAGAAAATAAAAAAAAAAACTGAATTTGATAACAAGATAATTTAAAGTTTATGAACGTACCAATATTGCATCTTTTATCGGGTGTATTTTTCCATCCTTTCTCACAGTCTCCATTTGGACAGGAACCATTTACGTGATCACATTTTTCGTTTTTAGCACAATTTCCACAAGGATTTGTACAGTTCTTTCCATAAAAATAGTCGTTGCATGCTAAAGATATATACTAATTTTTATATGTGTGTAGCAGCGTATAGATATCATAATGAATGTTGCTGAAAAAGTCTTAAATTCTTATAGGTACCGGGATACAGATTTGAAGTTAATTAATCGAAAATCTTATTTCATTGAAAAGTTATCAATGCTTCATTTTTTTGCGGATTTGATTGACACATCCTTGCACTTTCACAAAATCCAGAAAATTCAGAGATGACTTGTTCGAAAGCAAAACAAACACAGAATATGTTGTTAGTCAGTGCAGATGTGGTGAGCAGACTTTGACTATTGAACGCACCCGGTGAATCGTAAACAGTAACAGTACCAGAGCTCGTGTCTTGTTTACATAAGCTGTACACATAAAACGAATGTGATCGATTTGCTCAACTCTGTACACAACACCTAGCTCAGAATGATGATACTTCTGAAGGAGTTTTGCTTTCTAAAATTTCTACTCTAAATAAAATTATTTTTTCTGGATTAAAATTTTAATATTTCTCATTAATTCACAACAAGATTGCTACTTTGCTTAAAATTTAAGAATAATGTTAAAATTTGTGAAAGTGCAAGGATGTGTACATGAAACCCTCCAAAAAATTTAAAGTTTAATTCTTTTTAAATGAAATAAGATTTTTGATTATTTTTGTGTGAAATGCTATGAAGATATATAATTCGTGATGTTATACAGAAAATATTAAATTCACGTCTGTGTCCAGGCACCTTTAAGCCGTTCTGTTTGTCGACACGTTGTTCATTAAAGACATAAAAAATGCTTATTTTTGGATAATTGTCTTTTGCTGATTAATAAATAGAAGAAGGGTCAAATTTTTTTTACAACAAATATCAGCTTTGAAAATTAATTGCGGTATTCTCTAAGCAAAACAATCAAATAATTTATAAAGACATTGCATATATACTATTCTACCTTCAAAATGAATAAATGCATCTACAATTAAAGATACTTCACACAAAAGGATACTCATACTCGTAAACAATCCAAAATATAATTGTATCACTTTATCATTGACATTGTTCATTTAAAAAAGGTGAACATTTGATATGCACCTTCATCACATCTCTTATCAGGTGTATGTTTCCATCCTGGCTCACAGTCTCCATTAGGACAGGACCCAGTCACGTGATCACATTTTTCTGTTTTAGCACAACGTCCACAGGGATGGGTACAATTCATTCCGTAAAATCCCCTTTTGCATTCTAGAAAAAAATGAAAGAAAACAAAGTAAAGAAATCAGCAGGTAAAATAAAATTAACATAGATATGCGCATTCTTTTAAAAATCATCTAAATGACACAATTCGGTCATCAAACATTTAGAGAAATATATGCTATGAGACAAAAAAGAAATTCGTACATGTATTTTTTCTTTCTCTGGATATTTAATAATTTCAACTGGTTGACTTACCTTCATCGCACTTATCCTTTGTCCATCCATCTGCACACCCTTCAATACAGATTCCATCATCTTTTTTGCACGGTAATCCACCTTTACAATGTCCACTGCAATTGTACATACAGCGTTCTCCGAAAGTACCATTATTGCATTCTAAAAGCAAATATTTAAAATTTATCTCTATGTGATTCAGGATTCTGCATTCCTAATAAAAGGTACGTTTTTTTTGTTTGTTTCTTTTGAAAATTCTATATATAGTAAATAATATACAATATACCGTATAAGTGGAAATTTTAGCGAGACGCAAATTTAGCGATTTCTACCTAAAATCTGATATTTTATTTTTAGCGAGAAGTAATCTTAGCAATTTTAAAATGTTAACTAAAGAAGCTATTACAAATAATACGCAATTAATTTTTAGCGATATTCAATTTTAGCGATGTCAGCACCCTCGCTAATAATGCCAAAATTAAATCCTCGCTAAAAATTCTACTTATACGGTAGTTTGTTCCCTTTTAGTGTATATAAACACGAAGATACACAAAATCTGTATAAATGAGAACGCCTGTGTATTGTTTGTACATGTATATATACATATTATCTGTACATGTTGAAATAAAATAACACAGTTTATGTACATGTACGTGCCGATAATTTTGTCTAAAATCTATTTTTAAACCATGGCAACTAAAAATATTGAAACCAAGGAGTAATTTTTATTTAAATTACGTTAAAAAGAGTAATGAACAAAACATGAAGTATATGTCATTTGACAAGAGAATTGTATTGAAATTAATAATTAATAATTCTGTTTACTTGAAAGCAGGATACACCACAACTTCCAGCAATCATTTTTGAAACCTCCTAAATAGGCTAAAATGCATATAAAAATACTTTTTCTGCATCAATTAAATCATGCAAAATGAAAACAACTGAATTTGTTAACATGATTTACCTTTGTCTCTAATTATTTCAATTATAAGGTTAATTCATGGTTTGTGAACGTACCAATATTGCATCTTTTATCAGGTGTATGTTCCCACCCTGGCTCACAATCTCCATTAGGACAGGAACCAGTCACGTGATCACATGTTGCATTTTTTGTACAATGTCCACAGGGACGAGTACAGTTGATACCGTAAAATCCCCTTTCGCATTCTAGAAAAAATGAAAGAAGCGAAATAACTCAGCTAATAAATAACAAAAGATATGAAACTTTAAGATATGATATTGATGAAATTAATTGGTACCAAAAGTAGGGTATTCTCACTGGAAACAATTGTGAAATTTGAAAGTAAGCCAATGTTCAAATTCTTTTCAATAAGTACAAAAAAATCCTATGTCAAGGTCAAAAGGTCAAGGTAATTGGTAGAAAATGAAAGGTCTTTCAGCATAAAATAATTATATAGAGCATGAAAGCCCTAGCCCTTACCATTCAGAAGTAATGCCGAATTTCTTTTTTCAGAAAAAGTACGTCAAACTTCAAGGTCAAGATCAAAGGGTCAAAATTCTTGTTCTCAAATGAAAGGTTTTGTCACAAGGATTAAATATGTAAAGGATAAAAGCACTAGCCCTAACCTTTTAAAAGTTAATAACAAGGTTTCCTTTTTTAAGGTAGATGAAGCTCAAAGGTCAATGTAATTGCTATCCAATGAAGGGTCTTTTCACAAGGATTACATAATAAGTATGAAAGCCCTATCCCTTACTGCTCAAAAGTTTTAACTAAGGTTAACTTTTTTTACAAGAATGGAAATTTACAAGGTCAAGGTCAACTGGTCAAGATTGTTGGTATCCAATGAAAGGCTTTTCAACAAAGATTACATATGTAAAATATAAATGACCAGGTATCTGTTGATTAAAAGATATGGCCAAAGTAAAAGGTTAAAAGTTTCCTGGAAAAGTGTGTCATACTGTAAGGTAAAGTTCAAGAGGTCAAATTTGGTGGTACAGAAAAGAGTTCATAATGCACATGTGAAATATAAAAGTCATAGCTCCACTAAATCAAAAGACATGGGCAATGTTAAAGTTTTCGCAGACAAACAGAGAGACAGACAGAGAGATAACTAGACAGACAGACTGACACGACAAAAACTATATACCCCCAAAACTTCGTTTACGGAGGCATAAAAAGTTAAAAGCATTGTCAACGACATTTTCGGACAACTCTCGTATAAATCACACAGACTTACACGAAGGCATATTTCTCAAAATGTGCTTGCACGCTTCATGAAATATGCCTTGAAAAAAATGTTAAAGGTAATCAACAACAACGCAGTATGATAAATGTGATTACTTTAACTTTTCTATCGTCAACATCTCTTATTCATGCAGCAATGTGATACCTTCATCACTTGCAAACGATATATCTCAGTTGATTCGATACGCAAGAACAGGCAATACGTAAGAATAATTTCTAAAACCAGATAAACAATTTGATGAATCAAACAAGAACAGAAGTGTATCTCGTTTAAAGTCATCATTTTGTAAGTTCTATTGTCGATATAATGATCTTTTCAGCTAATAATATTCATCATTTATTACTTATTGACGTTTCTTATAATAATTGTTAGTTCATTATTTATCTGAATCGACGACTGAAATGTACAAGCTTTTCATCAATAATGCACATTTATATTTTATTCGTTGATAATTATCGCAGAGTCAAAAAGTGTTTCTAGTTAGATGTTATAGCATGATTTCTTAATTTAAAGATTGAAATTTCTCTAGTTCACTATTGTTTTTTTTTCACTGATAAAGAAAACTATATTATTCTTACCAACTTTAGACACCTCTTGAGGATACTTAACGTAAATGCAATACTTAAGCATTAAGAACGTTTATGAATTGCACTTAAGAATTTTCACTACTGTTGTTATTTTTTTTTTAATCCACCAAAAAACTAGCTCAGTTGACGTGGTTTCGGTCTTGCATTAATGACAAAGGAACATAAAAGTATTTTTAACAACTTTAAGTAAAACTTAGGAAGTTAATAAAAAAACATGACTTACGTGATTTTTCAAACTGAAGAATATACTAAGAAAATTTTATGAATTCTGCCCGTGATCCAATCTCTAATATTTTGGCGGTCCGTGCTTGCTATGTTCCTATTTTTTATTGTTTTTATAGACTTTTAATCTTGAATACCATTCGTTATCTCCATTTGTTTAATTTAAAATAAAATTTCCTATTGGGTCTAGCAATGCCTTAAAGTAAAAGAAACATAACATGTACGTACTCTGATTGCATTGTCTGTCACTTGTAATATTCCATCCCGGTGCACAGAGTCCAGAAGGACAGAAACCCGTCACATGATTGCAGTTTTCGTTGTTAGAACAATGTCCACAAAAAAGGCTGCAGTTCATACCATAAAAACCTCCTTGACATTCTACAAGATAAACATAATCTTATTACGTCATAAAATAAAATCAGAAGTTTACAAAGAAAATGTCGTTAAAGTGCTAGGTCATAGGAATTATAGGTCTAATGTTACTCTAAGGTCTTTCATCTGCTCTGCAACCAATCTTTGCCGATCATTTATTGCTATTCAGCAGCATTGTTATTGTTTGAAAAAGGGGCGGACCTAATTTATACTTGAAATATTTACTGAGACGTCATACAAAATAGGTAAACATTTTGTATTTCTCATGATACTAGAAAATCAAATACTTTTGAATATTCAACTGTATTAGCGTAATAAAGAATATGAAAACTTATCAGTGCATTAAAAAAAGTTGCTAGTTAAACCCAAGACAACAGTTTATAAAAAAATCACTTACAGTCCCTGAAACGTTCTACTTTCCCATTTTTCCGTTCGCTAACCGCTCGTTCACCGATCGTTCGGTGTTTGCTCACCGTTCGTTCAGAGTGCGTTCACCGTTCGCTCTCCGTTCACGGTTTTGCATTTACCGTTCACCGTGCGCTCGCCTTTACTGTTCACAAAACGTTCACCGTTCGCTCTTCGTTCCGTTTACTTTGCGTTCACCTTGCGTTCACTGTTCACTTATCGTTCAGTCTTCATTCTCATTCGGAATCCGAAGTGAAAGGACTTATCTTTTTGATGGTAAGGATTAACACGTTTTTAATTAACTAAAATATCGTGTTTGAGGAATAATTATTATTATTTCATTGCAAAAATTATCTACACTATTTATATTTCTATTATTATAATTTCGCTGTTACTTTATTTGTGAAATTTCCCTGGAAAATAACACATTAAGTTTCTATATGTATGTAGAACAATGCTAAAATATTAATTTAAAAAAAGAGCAATGTACAATTGCTTCACGCACGGCAAATTCTTGATGTAATGTAAAAGACGACAAATCATTTATGTATGGATAATAATCCAAGTAAGACAAGAATACACAAAAAAATTATTTCTAATACGCATTTAAAAAAAATGCCCAAAAACATATATGAGAACTACTGTTAGGTCAGAGAATTATGAACAGTACTGCAGATATTTAGTTAAATAAATAGCTCTAGAATTAATTAAATTAATAGCGGCGTGATTTAAAATTTTAGATAAGACCAACAGTTTAAAATGCAATACATTAGAATTTTTTTTACTCTAAGTTAAGTCTATTATTAGAGAGGGAAAAAATTTCTTCATTCACCTTACCTAAATATATGATTGCCATTCAGTAAAAATAAGAGCCCCCCCCCTCCGTGCCTTATCTCCCGATATCAAATACTTAGTTAGTATATCCAGAATATTTCAATTAATATTTAATGTGTATTGTAACACAAAAAATATCAGTCTTAAAACGAACATCAAACAGTCATTAAACAATAGTATTCCAAAATATACATGTGCCGACAGTAGGATTTTAAATTGGCAGGGAATATGTTTGAAATTCAATTTCAAACTTAATCTTTGCAAATGTAAATTCCCATTATTTATTTTTTTTTTTTCTGCAGGAATGCAAAAATCAGATCTGAAATAAAAGGTAAAAATATTAAAACTTCTTGTAAATACTAAATGACTCTTTGCCTTCGGCATGCTTGGTGAAACGAGATTTCCACACCTCCACTGCGTCTAATGATTTTGATTGACAGGCCAAGCACGCGGACTTCTTGTGAACCGTGTGAAGTTGTAGATGGAAAATAAAAGCCGATGATTATTGTCACACGGATTTGTTAATCTAAAAAAATTGATTACTTTTATTACTTGGAATATTTCGGAACAATAATAAGAATTTTATTTGATGCAACAGATGTCTGAGAATGGAGGGGATTTCTCTCTCTCTCTCTCTCATACATTTCTCTGTTTAATAGAAACTATGACAGCACATTACTTATTTAGTTTATAGTTTTGAAAATGTAATCTATTACAAATAATTTTAATGACTCTTTCCATCATCTTGTCCGAGTATTATGACGGCCGGGAAATGTCTACAGATACATGTAGAGGTTTGCTAAAATAATCATCATAAAAAAAATAAAAATTACACTTAAATATAGAATATTTTGCATTAGAATTTTAGATTACGAGTGTTTTATGCAATACATCAACAGACAAAAGTGATTTTCAAAGAAAAAATCCGGTTTATTTTTACTCAGAATCGCCTTGGCATGGAAATACATTGTTTCAACTTGATACAATGTAATAAATTCATTTTATTAGTAGTAGTTTTATCTTCTAAAGTCCACATTATTTTAATAGTTTAAAAAAACATATTTACTATATAAGAAGATTAATTTATATTTCAACTACACGCATTCGGTAACAAATACACATGTTTTACGGTGATAAAAATCATATTATTAAAATATTGATTTAAACATGGGTATGTGCAAAGAAATGTTTTTATTTATTTATTTATTTACTTAATATTTATATATCAACGGAGGCATTACGAATAAATCGTTTCTATTGCGTTCACCGTTTGTTAACCATTCACTTTGCGCTCACGTTCGCGCTCCGTTTGCGTTCTGCGCTCACTCACCGTTCACTGTTCACACATCGTTCACTAAGTTGCGTTCAGCGTTCGTTCAGCGTTTAGGTGGGAAAATAGAATGTTTCAGGGACTATATCACAGCAAACTTTTCGACATGACGTCATTTTGGTAAAAATGACGTATTTAATGTGCTGCAAAAGGCAGAGGAAGTATATTTTTCAGTGAAAACTGGATTTTATAATCAAACAGAATATGTTTCACACATTTCAAATAGGCAATGAATACGTGTTGTTCATTACATGTATGTCCTTTTAATTGTTTAAGAACCAGGATTGTCGAGCTCATCTTTTATTTGATTTGTATTAAAAATCAGACAAGTTATTTCCATTATTACTCATGGTTCATTATCTTATTGCATGAGATGGATCTTCAAACAAGGTATCATGGTTCTTGCACCACCACGACCATTCCTTAGAAGGGTGTCGTATTGAACAAAAAGGGATCATTACGACACAATGAACTAGTTTTTTAAGCAATACTTATTTTTTTTCCTCATAACATTTCCAACATTTTATCTTTCCTCCTAATGTTCTCATGAGATGGGAAATACTGAGTACGCTGTACGGTGTTATGATTATGGGTTATCAGGGTTTCTAAATGACAAATGATTAATTATGAAATTCAATATATTTTTACATAATTGTTTATTACTTTTCGGTCTTGTTTGACATCTGTAGTTGAAAGTTAATTGTTTTCATTTGATGTTTAGGAGAGGCATTTTTGCACATGTTACCAATATCTAATTCTTGACGTCTCTTTCCTGTCTCACGATATCAATGTCATTTACTCATACTTGATATCAGCTTTATTGTTAGATCTTAGGATGGTGTTCTTTGAATTTGATATGCTTAGCTCTACCTAATTTCAGTGTTGTAAATCAATGTCATACGGATTCCCCCTGTTCTTGCAATTTTCTATGTGAGTGAGTTTGTGAGTGAGTTACTTTTAGGAAAATTCTTTGTAAAATTCAGTTTGTTCCATCTACGAAATTTGTTCTAATTTATATTTGTGAAATTTATATTTTTGGACTTACAATAAATTCTAAACTTTAAAACCTGACTTATCAATTTTACAATTTATTACAACGGTATATGAGCTTTACATGCTGTCTATAATATACCTTATTTTGTGTTTACTTTAATTAATTAATTTTTTAAGTTTCAAAATAATCTCTCTCTATTTAAAAGAAACAGTGATTCTTTCGTCTCATTTTCCATGAATCTTGATTTTTTTCTATACGATTCATCAAGTAAAATTCTTGTTAACCTTCAAGGTTTAGGTGTTTGTATATAGCAGTATGTGTATAAGACATTATCAGGTCATATAAACATGAAATAAATATGCCCATTCTTAAAATTCATCTAAATGACACAATTTAGCTATCAAATATTTAGAGAAAATATGTTTTATAGACAAGAAATAATTTCGTAAATGTATTTTCCTTGCTCCTAATATTTAATAATTTCATCTGGTTGACTTACCTTCATTGCACTTATCCTTTGTCCATCCATCTGCACACCCTTCAATACAGATTCCATCATCTTTTTTGCACGGCAATCCACCTGTACAATGCCCACTGCAATTGTACATGCAGTGTTCTCCAAATGTACCATTATTGCATTCTAAAAACAAATATTTCAAATTTATCTCTCTGTGATTAAGAATTCTACATTCCTATATCTTGTAAAAGTCATGATTATTTTGAGAAAAAAAAACTCTAGACATTATAAAGAATATCAAAAGAGTTTGCTCCCCTTGAGTGTATATAAACACTAAAAATACAAAAAATCTTTAAAAATGAGTATTACTGCGTTAAGTTTGTACGGGTATATGTACATATTATCTGTTAAAATAAATTAAAACAGTTTACGTACATGTACATGCCGATAATTGTGTCTCAAATCTATTTATAAACCATGATAATTAAAAATATTGAAACCAACGAGTTACTTGTTATGTCATGCGACAAGAGAATTATATTCATATTATATATTGCTTAATAATTACATGTATGTTTCTTCATCAGCTAAAAGTCTTATAAAATATTTACTTTTTCAATTAAATCATGCAAAATAAAAACAATTAAATTGGATAACATAATTTTCTTTTTTTCTTATTTCAATTATAAGGATAATTCATAGTAAACATGTATGAACGTACCAACATTGCATCTTTTATCGGGTGTATTTTTCCATCCTTTCTCACAGTATCCGTTGGGACAGGAACCATTCACGTGATCACATATTGAGGGTTTGGCACAATTTCCACATTGATTAGAACAGTTTTTTCCATAAAAATAGTCGTTGCATGCTAAACATATATACTTATTTATATATGTGTGTAGCAGCGTATAGAAATCATAATGAACTTTGCTGAACAACTCTCAAATTCTTAAGCTGTTCTGTTCACTGAAAAGTTGTTGGTTAAAGACATAAAAAATGTTTATTTTTGAATAATTGTCTTTTACTTAAAAAGAAACATTCATTTTTTTACATCAAATATGAGCTTTGAAAATTTATTCCTGTATTCTCTAAGCAAAAATCACATAATTTATAAAGGCTTTAAATATATACCATTCCTTCTCCAATTAAATAAATACATCTACAACTAAAGATATTTCACACACAAGGATACTCATACTAGTAAACAATCGAAAATATAATTCTATCACTTTATCATTGACATTGTTCATTTAAAAAAATATATAATTAGTGCTATAGAACGTGAACATATGATATGCACCTTCATCACATCTCTTATCATGTGTATGTTTCCATCCTGGCTCACAGTCTCCATTAGGACAAGAACCAGTCACGTGATCACATGTTGCGTTTTTTGTACAATGTCCACAGAGACGAGTACAGTTTATACCATAAAATCCCCTTTCGCATTCTAGAAAAATAATGAAAGAAAACAAGGTAAAGAAATCATCAGGTCAAATAAAATTAACATAGATATGCTCGTTCATTTAAAAATCATCTAAATTCAGTCTTAAAACTTTTAGAGAAAAATATGCTTTGTAGACAAGAAAGAAATCCGTACATGTATTTGTTTCTTTTTCTGCATATTTAATAATTTCATCTCGTTGACTTACCTTCATCGCACTTATCCTTTGTCCATCCATCTGCACACCCTTCAATACAGATTCCATCATCTTTTTTGCACGGCAATCCAGCTGTACAATGCCCACTGCAATTGTACATACAGCGTTCTCCGAACGTACCATCATTGCATTCTAAAAGCAAATATTTCAAGACTATCATTTGTGATTCAGAATTCTGCATTCCTAATAAAAGGTATGTTATTATTATTTTTTTTTTTGAAAATTCTAGATATAATAAAGAATAAACAATATAGTTTGCGCCTTTTTAGTGTATATAAACACGAAGATGCACAAAATCTCTATAAATGAATATGCCTGTATTTCGTTTGTACATGTATATATACATATTATCTGTACCTGTTGAAATAAATGAAAACAGTTTATGTACATGTACGTGCCGATAATTATGTCTAAAATTCATTTATAAACCATGGCAACTAAAAATACTGAAACCAAGGAGTAACTTTTTATTCAAATTAGGTTAAGAAGAGTAATAATCATAACATGAAGTATATGTCATGTGACAAGAGAATTATCTTGAAATTAATAATTAATAATTATGTTAACTTGAAAGCATGACACATGACAAATTCCAGCAATTATCTTTGAAACCTCCTATAAAGGCTAAAATTCATATAAAAATATTTACTTTTTCTGCATCAATTAAATCATGCAAAATGAAAACAACTGAATTTGTTAACATGATTTACCTTTGTTTCTTATTTTAATTATAAGGCTGATTGATGGTTTATGAACGTACCAATATTGCATCTTTTATCAGGTGTATGTTTCCACCCTGGCTTACAGTCTCCATTTGGACAGGAGCCAGTCACGTGATCACATGTTGCGTTTCTTAAACAATTTCCACAGGGACGAGTACAGTTTATACCGTAAAATCCCCTTTCGCATTCTAGAAAAAAAAAAACCAAGAGGCCCAAGGGTCTTCTATGTCACCTGAGTATTGCGGAAGAACTTTCAAACAATTAAATTTGGTTTGTGTTTTAAACCAGACGCTATGAAAATCAAAATTCACAATTTTGAAAGAGGCACCATTGCTTATCATAATTATAAATTTAGCATGCTTACTATATTTACTTAATACCCAGGTAGATCAGAGTAACAAAGAGATAATGCACTCACCCCAAAGGAACCACTGACCCAGGGGCCACATATTTCAAAATTTTGCAAATTTTATCATAAAATGGTGATTAATACCAAAGAGTAGATTTCAAAGTATTAATTTATTTTCAGACTATGTAACACCCCCACCCCACTAACTTGGGGGCATAAAAAGCACTTTGCTAGATGCACCTCTCTTCATCATAAATGTATATACTTGAATCATTGGCGAAAAACCCAGAAGCAAAGGAAAATGTTTTCAAAGAATTAATGTAATTTACTATATAATCAATAGAGCCCCACCCTAACACCAGAATCCCTGAACCGGTGGCCATTAATTTCACAATTTTGAAAGAGGCACTTTTGCTCATCATAACTATGTGCTTAGTTAGTTTATTTGATACCAAGAAGCAGAGAAGAATATTTTCAAAGAATAAATGCATTTTCACTATATAATCTATAGAACCCCGCCCTAACACCAGAACCCCTGACCCTGGGGCCACAAAATTCACAAATCTGAAAGAGGCAGTCTTGCTCATCATAACCATAGACTTAGTTTATTTGATACCCAGGAGCAGAGAAGAAGATTTTCAAAGAATTAATGCATTTTCACTATGTATTCTTTATAGCCCCACCGTAGCACTAGAACCCTTGACCCTGGGGCCATAAAATTCACAATTTTGGAAGAAACACTCTTGCTCATCATAACTATGGGCTTAGTTACATGTAGTTAATTTAATACCCAGAAGCAGACAAGACGATTTTCAAAGAATTAATGAATTTTTACTATACAATGAATAGAGCCCCGCCCTAACACAGAATCCCTGACCCTGGGGCCATAAAATTCACAATTTTGGAAGAGACACTCTTGTTCATCATATCTATATACCTTGTTAGTTTATTTAATGCCTAGAAGCAGAGAAGATTTTCAAAGGATAAATGCATTTTCACTATATAATCTATAGAGCCCCGTCCTAACAACAGGACCCCTGACCCTGGGACCACAAAATTCACAAATCTGGAAGAGGCACTCTTGCTCATCACAACTATGTACTTAGTTAGTTTATTTCATACCCAGGAGCAGGGAAGAAGGTTTTCAAAGAATTAATGCATTTTCACTATATTATCTATATAACCCCGCCCTAGCACTAGAACTCCTGACCCTGGGTCCATGAATTTCACAATTTCGGTAGAGGACTCAATGCTCGTTACATTCAAGCCAACAGTTTGCCAGAAGAAATTTTTTAAAGATTGCATTAATTTTAGTGGTTTTGGCCCTACCCCTCAGGCCCCAGGGGGGGGGGGACCATGAAATTCACAATTTTGTTCCCCGTAATCCATAGATGCTGTATACCAAATTTTGTTGAAATTGGTTCAGTGGTTTCAGAGAAGAAGCTGAAAATGTTCAAATGTTAACACACGACACACGACGCACTACGCATGTCGCACAACGGACGACGACGGACGAAAACAGATAGCACAGGTCACCTGATTTACTCAGGTGACCTAAACATGAAATAACTCAGCTAATAAATAACAAAAGATACGAAACCTAAAATATGATACTGATGAAATTAATTGGTACCAAAAGCAGGATATTCTCACTGGAAAACAATTGTGAAATTTGAAAGTAAGTCAATGTTAAAGTTCTTTTCAATAAGTAAAAAAAATCCAATGTCAAGGTCAAAATGTCAAAGTAATTGGTAGAAAATGAAAGGTCTTTCCACATAGAATACTTATGTAGACTATGAAAGCTCTAGCCCTTACCGTTCAGAAGTTATGCCCAATTTTTTTTAAAGTACGTCAAACTTCAAGGTCTAGGTCAAAGTGTCAAATATCTTGTTCTTAAATGAAAGGTCTTGTCACAAGGATTAAATATGTAAAAGATAAAAGCACTAGCCCTAACCCTTTAAAAGTTATTATCAAGGTTTCCTTTTTTAAGGTAGGTCAGTCTCAAAGGTCAAGGTCAAAGTTATTGGTATCGAATGAAGGGTCTTTTCACAAGGATTACATAATGAGTATGATAGCCCTATCCCTAACCGCTCAAAAGTTATGGCGAAGGTTAACATTTTTTCACAAGTATGGAAATTTACAAGGTCAAGGTCAACGGGTCAAGGTTGTTGGTATCCAATGAAAGACTTTTCAACAATGATTACATAAGTAAAATATTAATGACCTGGTATCTGTTGTTTAAAAGATATGGCCAAAGTTGAAGTTTAAAAGTTTCCTGTAAAAGTGTGTCATACTCTAAGGTAAAGTTCAACAGGTCAAATTTGGTGGTACCCGAAGACAGTTCATGTCACAAATAATACATATGTTAAATATAAAAGTCAAAGCTCCACTAAATTGAAAGTTATGGGCAAGATTAAAGTTTTTCGAGGACAGACAAACAGAAAGACAGATAAAGAGACAACTGGACAGACAGGCAGACTGACACGACAAAAAATATATACCCCAAAACTTCGTTTACGGGGGCATAAAAAATTATAAACATTGTCAATGACTTTTTTTGACAACCCTCGTATAAATCACACAGACTTACACGTAGGCATATTTCTCAAAAAGTGCTTGCACTCTTCATGAAATATGCATTGAAAAAGACGTTAATGGTAATCAACAACAACGCAGTATGATAAATGTGATTACTTTAACATTTCTATCGTCAACCTCGATTATTCCTGCAGCAATGTGATACTTCATCACCTCAGTTGATTCGATACGCAAGAACATGCGATACGTATGAACAATTTCTAAAACCAGAAAACAATTTGATGAAACAAGGACATCAGAAGTGTATCTCGTGTAAAGTCATCATTTCGTAAGTTCTATTGTCGATATAATGATCATGTCAGCAAATAAAATTTATCATTTATTATCGAGTCAAATATTTATTGACCTTTTTTATACTAATAGTTAGTTCATTATTTATCTGAATCGACGACTGAAATGTACAAGCTTTTCATCAACATTGAACATTTACATTTTATTAGTTCATAATCATTGCAAAGTCAAAAGGAGTTTCTAGTTAGATGTTATAGCATGATTTCTCAATTAAAAGATTGAAATTTCTCTAGTTCACTATTGTTTTCTTTCACTGGTAAAGAAAACTTAAGTATTTCTTATCTACTTTAGACACCTCCCGAGGATACTTAACGTAAATCCAATACTTAAGCATTAAGTACGCTTATGAATTGCACTTAAGTACTTTCATTCCTGTTGTTATTTTCTTTTAAATCCATCAAAAAAGTTGTCTTGGCTTCGGTCTTGCATTAATGACAAAGGAACATAAAGTATTTCTAACAAATCTAAGTAAAACTGAGGAAGTGAATAAAAAAAACATGACTTAAGTGATTTTTCAAACTGAAGAATATTTTATGAATTCTGCCCCTGGTCCCATCTCTAATAAATCAGTGGTCCGTGCTTGCAATGTTTCTATTTTGTATTGTTTTATGGACTTTTAATCTTGAATACCATTCGTTATCTCCATTTGTTTAATTGAAAATAAAATTCTCTATTGGTGCCTAGCAATGTCTTGAAATAAAAGAAACATAACATGTATGTACTCTGATTGCATTTTCTGTCACTTGTAATATTCCATCCCCGTGCACATAGTCCGGAAGGACAGAAACCCGTCACATGATTGCAGTTTTCGTTATTAGAACAATGTCCACAAGAAAGACTGCAGTTCATACCATAAAATCCTCCTTGACATTCTACAAGATAAACATAATCTTATTACGGTTAATAATAAAATCAGAAGTTTACTAGGAAAATGTCTTTAAAGAGCATAGTCACACGAACAATAGGTCGAATGTAATTTAAAGGTCTTTCATCTGCTCTGCAACCATTTTTTTGCCAATCATAAATTGCAATTCAGCAGCATCGTTATTGTTTGAAAAAGGGACGTGGCCTAATTTATACTTGAAATGTTTATTGTTTACTGTGACGTCACACAAAAAAAGTAAATTTTGTATTTCTCAAAATACTAGAAAATCAAAAACTTTGGAATATTAAACTGCATAAGCGTAATAAACAAAATGAAAAGTTATCAATGCATTAAAAATAGTTGCTGGTAAAATGCAAGACAACAGTTTATAAACAAATCGCTGATCGCAGCAAACTTATCAACATGACGTCATTTTAGTAAAAATAACATATTTCATGTAATGGCAGAGGAAGTATTTCTGTTACAGAGAAAAAAAAAATCTATTTTCAAATAGAATATCATTTACAGATTTCAGATAGGCTACAATGTATGAATACGAGGTGTTCATTAAATGTATGTCAATTTCAATCCTTTAGGAATCATGATTGCCGAACTTCAAACAAGGTATCATAGTTCTTGCACAACCACGACCATCCATTAGAAGGGCGTTTTATTGAACCAAAAAAGGGATCGATACGAACGATGAACTAGTTTTTAAGCAATATTTCATTTTTTTCTTATAACATTTTCAAACATTTTATCTTTTCTCCTAATGTTCTCATCAGGTGGGAAATACAGAATACGCTCTAAGTTATATGAGCTTTACATGCTGTCTATAAAAAACTTATTTTGTGTTTACTTTAATTCATTCTTTAAGTTTCAAAATGATTTCTCTCTATTTAAAAGAAATAGTGATTCATTCGTCTCATTTTCCAAGCTTCTTGATTTCTTTCTAACAAGTAAATTTTTTTTAACCTTCCAGGTGTTTTTATACAGCAGTGAATTTTGCATAAAAGCTAATAAAAACAGTATCAGGTCAAATGAACATTTAAAATAAATATGCCAATTCATCTGTGACACAATTCAGCCATCAAACGTTTAGAGAAAAAGTATTATTATAGACAAGAAAGAATTCCGTACATGTATTTTCCTTTCTCTGCATATTTAATAATTTTATCTCGTTGACTTACCTTCATCGCACTTATCCTTTGTCCATCCATCTGCACACCCTTCAATGCAGATTCCATCATCTTTTTTGCACGGCAATTCACCTGTACAATGCCCACTGCAATTATACATACAGTGTTCTCCAAACGTACCATTATCACATTCTAAAAGCAAATATTTCAAAATTATCTCTTTGTGATTAAGAATTCTACATTCCTAGTAAAAGTCAATTTTTTTTGAAATTCTAGATACGAGGGACAATCAAAAAGTTCGTGGACTAGCGCCATAAAAGTAAAACCAATGAGTTTTGAAATATTAGTTATCATCATCTTTTCTATCTATAGAATAAATTACAAATCATAAACTTTATTTTTAAATAATTTGAAAAAGTTTTTTGTAAGAAAACGACGTTTTTTCGGCCTCATTGTAACTAAAATAAACTATTTTGATATGAACATCGACATCCAAAAATCTCGTTAATTCAGGTATATGTTGTGACACTATTGTTCCATAAAATGTGGAATTCTTACCTCATTCTGGAAGTTCTATAAAATTTTACTGTAAATTTTACATGGAATATCCAAACAAATATTGCCTTGAAAATGACGTTAAAAGAGGAAGAAGGGGGGGGGGGTATTTTCCAACATTCTATGAAGTTTTGTCCCTGGAAAAACTGTTATACACATAGGAAATGTTTAAACTGGCTTCGGAGAAATAAAATGTATCCAGATTACATGTTTTAATGCCAAAATAGATCCAGAGAGTGATGCAAAATTGATGTTGTTTTGTAGTCAAGATTTGAAAAATCAATCACGTCAAATAATGAGGTCTATCATGTGCTTTAGTTATATTGAACTTTAAAAAATATGCTTGATAATCAATGGTAGATGTCTCCCAATGTATAAATCCATTTGCAATAACTTTGCATTGAAAGCTGCTGTTCATGACATTGTAATGTCATAATAACAAGGTGGGTTGAATTCCTAACTCAGTTCTAGGGTATCTCTAGCTAGGAAGCCGACATTGAAAAATAATGACGTTTGTCGGACGTCATGAAACTAACTGCCACGGCCCCGGGTGATCATATGATGTCGTTTTTATTTTATGATAAATTTGGAAATAATAAACCTATCAAGCTAAATTATCAACATATATTTATTTTTTGTTGTTTTATGTTCCAAATAAATTTTGTAAGCTCGTATCATAAAGAATATACAAAATGGTTTGCTCCCTTTCAGTGCCTATAAACACGAAAAAATACAAAATCTTTTTAAATGGGTATGCCTTTGTTAAGTTTGTACAGGTATGTTTACATATTATCTGTTAAAATAAATTGAAATAGTTTATGTTCATGTAGGTGCTGATAATTGTGTCCAAATTCTGTTTATAAATCATGGCAATTAAAAATATTGAAACCAAGGAGTAACTTTTTATTACAATAAGTTAAGAAAAGTAATGAACAAAACATGAATTATATGTCACGCGACAAGAGAATTATATTCATATTATATATTACTTAATAATTATGTCAACTTGAAAGCATGGTACACCAAAAATCCCAACAATCATTTTTGAAACTTCCTTAATAGGCTAAAATTTATATAAAAATATTTACCTTTTCTTAGAAAATTAAATCATGCAAAATGAAAACAACCGAATTTGATCAAATTATTTACCCTTGTTTTTTTATTTCAATTATAAGGTTAGTTCAAAGTTTATGAACGTACCAATATTGCATTTTTGATCAGGTGTATTTTTCCATCCTTTCTCACAGTTTCCATTAGAACAGGAACCAGTCACGTGATCACATGTTGCGTTTTTTGTACAATGTCCACAGGGACGAGTACAGTTTATACCGTAAAATCCCTTTTCGCATTCTTGAAAAAAAAAAAAGAAAACGAAGAAAAAAAAATCAGGTCAAATGAAAATAGCATCAATATGCCTATTCGTTTAAAAAATCAATTAAATGACACAAATCAGTCATCAAACATTTAGAGAAAAATATGCTATGAGACAAAAAAAGAAATTCGTACATGTATTTTTTTCTTTCTCTGCATATTTAATAATTTCATCTAGTTGACTTACCTTCATTGCACTTATCCTTTGTCCATCCATCTGCACACCCTTCAATACAGATTCCATCATCTTTTTTGCACGGCAATCCACCTGTACAATGCCCACTGCAATTGTACATACAGTGATCTCCAAACGTACCATTATTGCATTCTAAAAGCACATTTTTTCAAAATGTGATGAAAAAATTATAGCTTCTAAAAGTCATGATTTATTTTAATTCTAGATATCATAAAGAATAATTATACAATATAGTTTGCCTCCTTTAAGTGTATATAAACAGGAACATACACAAAATCTTTATAAATGTGTATGCCTGTGTTAAGTTTGTACATGTATATTTACTTATTATCTGTTGAAATAAATTAAAACAGTTTATGTACATGTAGGTATCGATAATTCTTTCTAACATCTAATTATGAATCATGGAATTTAAAAATATTGAAAACAAGGAGTAACTTTTTATTCAAAATAAGTTAAAAAAGTAGTGGACAAAGCATGAATTATATGTCATGCGACAAGAGAATTATATTCATATTATATTTTACTTAACTATTATGTTAATTTGAAAGCATGGCACACAACAAATCCAAACAATTGTTTTTGAAACTTCCTTAATAGGCTTAAGTTCATTTTAAAGAATACTTTTCTGCATCAATTAAATCATGCAAAATAAAAAGAATTGAATTTGATAACATGATTTACTAGTACCTTGGTTTCTTATTTCAATTATAAGGTTAATTCATGTTTTATGAACGTACCAATATTACATCTTTTATCAGGAGTATGTTTCCATCCTGGCTCACAGTCTCCATTAGGACAGGAACCAGTCACCTGATCACATATTCTGTCTTTAGCACAACGTCCACAGGGACGAGTACAGTTTTTACCGTAAAATCCACTTTCGCATTCTAGAACAAAAAATGAAAGAAATGAAATAACACAGCTTATAAAGAAAAAAAAGTATATGAATCTTTAAAATATGATATTAATAAAAAAAATCAATAGAATTAACAGTTTGGAAACAATTTCGTTTCTGGAACATAGTCGGATTTTAATTACTTTTCTTCCGAGACACCTATTCACATTTAATAAGTTATAATACAGTTAATTCTGGTTATGAAAAAAATGCATATATGTTTATAGTTTTTAAAATTTTTATAGTCTTTCATATATATAGTCTTTAATCTTTGAGGACAGACCACCTCGAGTAACGAGCTCAAAACGAGAGTTTCATGAAAAACGTTGATCATCAGTATCACAAAATGCACTAAAATGATATGTACTTTTCTCTGTTTCTGCAAAGACTAATATACAGCTGTAATATATATATACGAAAGCACTTTCAATTAAGTTGGAGTTCTTTAGAAAAGAATATAAATGAAAAAAAAACCCGCAAAATCTTATTCTGCATCCTATTTTTCTTTATTTTATTAGTTTTTTTTTTAAAAATAGAATATACTACTTGTAATTCTACTGTTGTATTGTGTTTTTTGCCATTTCTACTTTTCTTTGCATGATATAAGAAAAAAAAATTGAGAATTTTATATTGGCATTTTAATCAGGGTTGTGATGTCGCTAAAATTGAATATCGCTAAAAATGTCTGATATATATTTGTTATAGGTTCTTTAGCATATTAATGCTGAACACGACTCGTAAATAGGCATGCGCCATTTTCGATATCATTATCTACGATACTTCAACACTAGGGTATACTCGTCGCATTCGTCATACCTGATTGCTTTATTGTCACGGGTATCGGCGTGGAATGGCGACCCGTGTTTGTGCTGGTTATCTAGCATTACATTAGTTTACATTTTATTGCACTTATGTGTATCTGTGTTGTTTGTATACTGCACTGACCTGTACAACTATAATTGTAAATTTATTTGGTATCTTACTTTCCTGCATTAGACGAAATATTACGTTATTATTCTCCCTACTGAGTTTTGTGTAGCATACGTCCGTCTACACCGGTGTCAACTGATTACACTGAACAGTGCCCAAGTTTTGCCCTATAAATAGGGGTATGCAGAGTGGCGAGAATCGGGAGCAAAAATGGCGGACAAATTCCTTTAACGAATCGTGTTAAGCTTTAAATTAGCTACATATGGAATACCAGTTTCAAAAGACAAATCGCTAAATTTGCATCTTTCTAAATTATCCACTTATACGACATACACAGAGAATTTCGCGCTAATGTGAGGTCCAAATAAGGCTGCAGCAAAGCTAGTAATCAAGGTACTCACCAAGTACTGAAAGACGTGGTCAAAATAATATTCATGCTAGATTTGACAAATGTGAATTTTTTACGAGTTTCTATAACAACTTTATTTTTCATTAAAATCCTTAAAACAAAACGACGAATAAAATTTATTTACATTTTTCATTTAATTTGAAGTAGAAATTTAAATAAATGCTCAGTCTTGAAACCTCTTTGAACTGCTCCGAATTCCATTGGGTATGAATTAATATTTTTTATGAAGTAAACAATGGATGATGCCTACACAGTCATAATATTACGAGGATAGTACTTCGTTTACTAGGTGATTTACAGATAATGTTTTTAGTTTTAAATCATCAAAATACTTAATTAGTTTGAGTTAAAAAAAAAAGGTTCATATCCCTTTCTTCAGTTTGATACAAAATATTTATGGTTTGCTCAAAACAATTGCTGCACTCTTTCATATGCGTAGTTTTTATTGATAAGAGCAGTGAGATTTGCATAAAAACAAAGAAAAAATACCAGGTCAAATGAAAATAACATAAATATGCCCATTCCTTTTAACATCATCTAAATGACACAATTCAGTCATCAAATATATAGGGGAAAATATGCTTTGAAGACAAAAAAGAATTTTGTACATGTATTTTCCTTTCTCTGCATATTTAATAATTTCATCTAGTTGACTTACTTTCATCACACTTATCCTTTGTCCATCCATCTGTACACCCTTCAATGCAGATTCCATCATCTTTTTTGCATGGCAATCCACCTGTACAATGTCCACTGCAATTGTACATACAGTGTTCTCCAAACGTACCATTATTGCATTCTAAAAGCACATTTTTCAAAATTATCTCTCTATGACTAGGAATTCTGCATTCCTAGTAAAACCATGATGTTTTTGAAAATTCTAGATATAATAAAGAATATACACTGTAGTTAGCTTCCTTTAGTAGATATAAACATGAAAATACACAAATTCTTTATAAATTAGTATGTCTGTATTAAGCTTCTACATATATATTTACATATTATCCGTTGAAATCAATAAAGACAGTCTAATATATAATCATAAACCATGACAATTAAAAATATTGAAACCAAGCAGTAACTTTTTTTATTCAAAATAGATTAAGAAGAGAAATGAACAAAACCTGAATTATATGTCATGAGACAAGATAATTATATTCCTATTATATATTGCTTAATACTTATGTTAACTTGAAGGCATGGTGCACCAAAAATACCAACACTTCTTTACAAAAACACTTTACATGGCCTGGATATCGACTATCTGAAAAATAATCCCCCTTCGTGTTCATGTTCTTCTTCGCCCTTTAACTATAGTCCTGCTGGACAGGTTATTACAGGTGACGTAAATATAGTTCGTAATGAGGACCTTAGGTCACTTATTTTAAAAGGTCCTAAATATAGGGAACCCCGATCCTTATACTGGCGTCGGAATTTCACAAATATTATGGATTCTGTTGAAAATTACGCCAGACGATGGGCCAGATATGAAAAAAGAAGACGTTGACACCTTGTCAGATTAAATGTATCAGATCCATGTTAAAGTCTCGAATTAAAAGTTTGAGGGGCAAAATGAAAACCATCTATTCTTCTTTGTTCAATAAACCAGAAGTGAAAAAAGAATTAGATAGTTTACACGATCAGTACGTACTGGTTCCGGCCGACAAAGCAGGTAAAAACATTTTCTTCGTTTGTAAGGCTCATTATATAAATTGCATTCTAGAAGAACATTGATTTAATTCTACAAGTGGTAAACCTACTTATATTCATACTTCCCTTTGAAGGAAGAAATTCTTCAAAATCACCTGTCAGTTTTTAATAGTTTTAAAATTCCACAGAGACAAAATGATTTTGAACTACCTGATATATATTGGATTCCAAAACTTCATAAGAATCCTTACAAACAAAGATACATTGCAGGTTCCAGTAAATGTTCAACCAAGCCTCTTTCGTTACTTCTCACTAAGATATTGACAGTAGTAAAGGAAAAACTTCAAGAGTACTGTGCAACTATATATTCAAGAAGTGGTGTAAATCAGATGTGGATAGTTAAAAATTCTAAAGAACTTTTGGACAATTTGAAATCACAAGACTTTACAAAAATCAACAGCTTAAAAACTTACGACTTTTCAACTTTATACACAACAATTCCCCACGACAAATTAAAATCCAGGCTTTTTGATATCAGTGACAGCTGCTTCTTCAATAAAAATGGAACTCGTAGATTTACTAACCTCGTCATTGGTCATTTACAAAATTATTTAAAAAAAAAATGATTCTGATTGCACACATAAATACTCTGAGGTTGACATCAAGAAGATGCTTGAGTTTCTGATTGACAATATTTATGTGGTTTTTGGAGACCAGGTATTCCAACAATCTATTGGAATTCTCATGGGTTCAAATTGCGCTCCGTTATTAGCAGACTTATTTTTATATTCATATGAAGCAGACTTTATGCAAAAACTTATGCATGAAAAGAAGAAAACACTTGCTGTGGCCTTCAACTCGACATTTAGATATATCGACGACGTATTGGCAATTAATAATGGTAATTTCCATTCCTACGTCGATACGATATATCCTGGTGAGCTTGAGATAAAAGATACAACAGAGTCCGACACTTCTGCTTCATACTAGGATATTTTACTTAAAAAGACACTAATGGTAATCTAACAACCAAACCATATGATAAACGTGATGACTTTAACTTTTCTTTCGTCAACTTCCCTTACTTATGCAGCAACATACCTTCATCACCTGCATACGGAGTATATATATCTCAGTTGATTCGATACGCAAGAGCATTCTCTACGTATGAACGATTTCTTAAACGAGGCAAATAATTGACAAGCAAGTTGATGAAACAAAAATATCAACAGTCTCGTTAAAAGTCATCATTTCGTAAGTTCTATGGTCGATACAATGACCTTGTCAGCAAATACAATTTATCATCGAGTCAAATGTTGACTGACGTTTTTCATACCAATTGTTAGTCATTACTTATACACTGAATTGACGACGGACTTTTTTCCGTTATTTCCTGATCATGACAACCAGCACACGGCGGGTGTGACCGGTCTGCAGGGGATGCTCACTCCTCCATGGCACCTGATCCTACCTCTGATGTTTCGGAGGTCCGTGTTTGCTCTGCTCTTATTTTGTATATTGTTAAATGGACTTTGAGATTGAATACTGTTCGTTATCTCCATATCCTTCTTCTTTCTGAATATTCCTTAATAGTCTATAATTAATATAAAAACATTTACTTTTTCTGCATTATTTAAATCATGCAAAAAGAAAACTGAATTTAATAAAATGATTTACCTTGGTTTCTTATTTCAATCTTAGGGTTAATTCAAAGTTTATAAACGTACCAATATTGCATCTTTTATCAGGTGTATGTTTCCATCCTTTCTCACAGTCACCATTAGGACAGGATCCAGTCTTGTGATCACAGGTTGCATTTTTTGCACAATGTCCACAGGGATATGAGCAGTTCTTTCCATATAAATAGTCCTTGCAAGCTAAAGATATACACTTATTTATGTATGTGTGAAGCAGCGTTTAGAAATCACACATAATGATCGTTGCTGATTTTTTTTTTTAAATTCCTAAGGCGTTCTATTCACTTAAAGTTGTTGATTAAAGACAAAAATGTTTATTTGGGACAATGGACATTTACTTTAAAAGAAGAAGGGTTCAATTTTTTTTTTACATCAAATATGAACTTTAGAAATTGATTGCTGTATTTTCTAAGCAAAAATCTAATAATTCATAAAGACTTTGAATATATACTATTCATCCTTCAAAATATAACTATACATTTACCAGTATAGATATTTCACACAAATGGAAACTCATACTCATATACAATCCAAAAATAATTTTTTCACTTTATCTTTAACACAATTCATTCAAAACATATCGATAAAGAAATTACTTTCATTACAATAAGACTTTATCCAACCATCATTACACCCTCGTGGACAATACCCATTTACTTTGGAGCAGTGTAATCCACCTGCGCAGTGTCCACTACATTTGTGCTCACAGTTTAATCCAAATGTACCGTTTTCACATTCTGAAACAAAATAAAAAAGTGAAATTCGATATGTGCTGTGGGTGATAATTAAGAGTTATAAAAAGAGGACATTTAATATGCACCTTGATCACATCTCATTTCAGGTGTATGTTTCCATCCTGGCTCACAGTCTCGATTAGGACAGGAACCAGTCACGTGATCACATGTTGCGTTTTTTGTACAATGTCCACAGGGATAAGTGCAGTTGATACCGTAAAATCCACTTTCGCATTCTAGAAAAAAAAATGAAAGAAAACGAAGAAAACAAAACCATCAGGTCAAATGAAAATAACATGAATATGCCTATTCTTTTAAAAATCATCTTAATGACACAATTCAGTCAACAGACATTTAGAGAAAAATACGCTTTGTGGACAAGAAAGAATTTTCAACATGCATTTCCATACTCTGCAAATTGACTTACCTTCATCGCACTTATCCTTTGTCCATCCATCTTCACACCCTTCAATACAGATTCCATCGTCTTTTCTACACGGCAGTCCACCTTTACAATGCCCACTGCAACTGTACATACAGTGTTCTCCGAAAGTACCATTATTGCATTCTAAAAGCAAATATTTCAAAATTATCTCTCCGTGATTAATGATTCTGCATTCCTAGTAAAAACCATGATTTTTTCAAATTCTAGATATAATAAGAATATGCAAAATAGTTTGCTCCCTTGAAGTGTATGTAAACACGAAAATACACAAAATCTTTATAAATGAGTATGCCTGTGTTAAGTTTGTACAAGTATATTTACATATTATCTGTTGAAATAAACTAAAACAGTTTACGTTCATGTACATGCTGATAATTGCGTCTGAAATCTATTTATAAACCATGGTAATTAAAAATATTGAAACCAAGGAGTAACTTTTAAAATATGTAATGCGAAAAGAGAATTATATTCATATTTTATTACATTTTTAACAGTGAAATATTGTAATTTATCCATCGAATAGAAGTGATATCCTGTTATGACGTGAAGGGATATCAAAATGATATCCTGTCACAGTGTTAAAGACTCTCAGAATTGCGGGAAAACTCTCGATTTTCCTTCGTGTCTCTAAGAGTGTTGAAAAATATTCCTTAACCTGTTATCAGATTGAAAACGAATTCAAAAACATTTCTGTAAAAAAATAAAATTGAGAAAGTTCCCCAAATATCTTGCTGAAATGCATGTTTACAATGTCTTTCAATTAGCTATCACGTCTCAACCGCTCAACTATGACGTCATGTAGCTTAAGACTGCATTACAAGAAAGACGTAAGCTAAGGGAAAATCAAAGAATATGTGATAGACAGAAAATTCAATGTCTTGTAGTTGAATATGGAATTTATTTCACTCAGGAAACAGAATTTTTTTTACATTTTCACATCCGTGAAAATATATTAAAAAAAATCGAAATAAACATATTCATACCAAACATTATAATATATATATATATATATATATATATATATATATATATATATATATATATATATATATATATATATATATATATATATATATATATATATATATATATATATATATATATATATATATATATATATATATATATATATATATATATATATATATATATATATATATATATATATACATGTACCTTAATAATTATGTTAACTTGAAAGTCTAGCACACCAAAAACACCACAATTATTTTTGAAACTTCCTTAAAAGGCTATAATTCAAATGAAAACATTTACTTTTTCTGCAGTTTTCAAATCATTCAAAATGAAAACAACTGAATTAAATAACATGATTTACTTTGGTTTCTTATTTCAATTATAAGGATAATTCAAAGTTTATGAACGTACCAATATTGCATCTTTTATCAGGTCTATTTTTCCACCCTTTCTGACAGTGTCCATTAGGACAGGATCCAGTCATGTGATCACATGTTGAGTTTTTTACACAATGTCCACAGGGATTTGAACAGTTCTTTCCATAAAAATAGTCGTTACAAGCTAAGGATAATTATATACTTATTTATATATGCGTGTGGCAGCGTATAGAAATCATAATGAACGTTGCTGAAAAACTTAAATTCTTAAGCCGTTCTGTTTCCTGAAAAATTGTTGATTAAGGACATAAAAATGTTTATTTCTGGATAGTTGTCTTTTACCTAGATAGACGAAGGGTTCAATTTTTTTTACATCAAATATGAGATTTGAAAATTGACTGCTGTATTCTCTAACCAAAAACCAAATAATTTTTAAAGACTTTGAATATATACTATTCATCCTCTAAAATCAATAAATAAACATTCACAGGGACACTTATACTTGTAAACAATCGAAAATATAATTTCATCACTTTATCAAAGACATTGTTTATTAAAAAACATACATAATTAGTGCTATAGAGAGTGGACATGTATTATGCACCTTGATCACATCTCATCTCAGGTGTATGTTTCCACCCTGGTTCACAGTCTCCATTAGGACAGGAACCAGTTACGTGATCACATATTCCGTCTTTAGCACAATGTCCACAGGGATGAGTACAGTTTTTACCGTAAAATCCACTTTCACATTCTAGAACAAAAAATGAATGAAATGAAATAACTCAGCTTATAATTAAATAAAAAAGATATGAATCTTTAAAATATGAATTAACAGTTTGGAAGCAATTTTGTTTATAGTATTTTGTATACTCTGATTATGAAAAAATGCATATATGTCTTAAATCTTCTAGGACAGACTATCTCGAGTAACGAGCTCAAAAGGAAACTTTCATGAGAAAGGTGATCATCAGCATAACAAAATGCACTAAAATGATAAATACTCCTTATTGTTTCTGTAAAAACCAATATACATAATTATGTAATATGTATATGTAAACATCCGCAACATCACATTCTGCATCCTATTTAAGTTTTTATATTAAAAAAGATAATAAAATATGATGCTTGTTATTCTACGGATGTATTGTTTTTTTTTTTTTTTTGCCGTTTCTACTCATCATTGCACGATATAAGCAGAAATCGTATCGACGATTTTATTTTGCCATTTTTATTGAGGGTTGTGAGATCGTTCAAATCGAAGATCGCTAAAAATGTTTGACATTTATTTGTAATAGGTTCTTGAGCATTTTAAATAAGTAACATCTAGAATTCCAGTTTCAAAGGACAAATCGCTACATTTGCCTCGATATCTTACTAAAATTTCCAATTATACGGCATACACGGAGAATTTTGCGCTAATGTGACGTCCCAATGAGGCTACAGCAACGTTGGTATAATGCAACAATATCAAGCAGCGAAAAGTTCAGTTACGAGTATTGAGTAATAACTATATTTTGGTTCTTTGAAATGTGTAAAATGTGTATTAAAAGGAGTGTTTTTAAGTTAATGTGAATTATTGATGTACGAGAGTTGTCCCAGAGTCGGGGAAAGAAAAATCAGTTTAGTTTTTTTTCATAATAAATTAAATTTCTTTCCTGATCATAGCAAAAAGTAACATTTTATGATCATGATTTCAATTTTTATCATGATATCACATTTAATAAGAAGATGATGATAAAATAAGGAAAACATGTAAGTGTACATCAGCGCACGAAATCAAAGATAATTTACGTCCCTTATACGTCATGGTCTCTGTCTTCTTCACACACATCTGTTAACATTCAATATTTTATTTTTTAAAAGAAGAATAACCATATTTGACTAAAGGACTTCAAATTTTCAGTCAAACTTTAGTCATATGATCGCCTTACATTATAAGCAGCAGGGAATAATCGTAGGTGACGTCGTTCGTGGCCCAGATTGTTCCCTATTGACTGTGCTTAACAATCAGTACTCTACTTCTTTTGAAATCTTTACTCATGTCTCTTATGAATATGAAGCATCTCCAAAACAACCTAGTACATCTCCATGAGCATGCTACGCGTTTGACAACGTCATTTTCATCAAACGCAATTCAAAACTTTGAAAATCATAACACCAATCGCCTATTTTTAGTGCTATTCTAATGACATTTTGAAATTGCTTTTTAGATTTTGATTCTAGTTTCAAGGATTTAAATTTGACTTCAATGTTGTATGTAGTACTAAAGAAAAAAAAGCAAGCATACAAGTCAAATACATAAATTATTCTGAATTTTATTCGTGCGCCAACAGACCTTACAGGCCTTCATATAAATCGTCCTAATTTTAATAATATGAAGATACATGTATATCTTTTCGAATTTACAATTTTAAAAAACAATGGATATATTATGTCTTTGCAAAATTTGGCTAGTATTGGTTGCTAGTTTAAAAAGTTATAAACATCATCAACGACATTTTTTTCGAAAACCCTCGTATAAATCAAACGGACTTACACGTAGGCATATTTCTCATAAAGCGCTCATAAAGCTCATAAAGTCACCATTTCGTAAGTTCTATTGTCGATATAATGACCTTGACAGCAAATAAAATTTATCATTTATCATTGAGTCAAATGCTTACGGAGTTATTTTTATACTGATTGTTATTTCATTATTTATCTGAATCGACGAGTGAAATGTACAAACTTTTCATCAACGTTGCTGATAATTATCTCAAAGTCAAAAAGAGTTTCTAGTTAGATGCTATAGCATTATTTCTTGATTAAAAAATTAAAATATCTCTTGTTCATTATTGTTTTTTTTTCTCTGATCAAGAAAAATTAAGTATTTCTTACCTACTTTAGACACCTCCTGAGGATACTTAACGTAAAGTCAATACTTAAGCATTAAGTACGTTTATGAATTACACTTTAAGTATATTTTCTTCAAATATTAAAATATTCAAATTTGAAACTTATATTGAGTTCAAACTTGGTTATTTTATCCATTTAGGACAACCTTTTGATTTAATATATTATACTTAATAAAAATTTCCTTTCTGTTTTCTGAAACCTGAGTAAACGTTATCCTTAAGGTGTACATATAATATCTCTCAGATAAAAGCGATAATTTCCTGATGACATTTTACCATGAAATTTGATGGACTGTCGTTTTCAGAATTTACAGAGTTAAAAAAGAGAGAACCATTTAATAGTCAATTAAAAGCAGTCTGTAGTACTGTACATATATTGATTTATAGTTTCTTTTGCAAATATTGTCCTTTATTATGTACAAAATGATTACCTAAAACTTTAATGCTCAGGTCCTTTGATCTGTGTAAATTAAGATATTTTCATCTTTAAAGGTACTTTTCTTTTAATTGTTACAAAAATTCTAGATTTACAATTGTTCATAATCATTTAATTAATATTTTGTTTAACTATGATTTTCAAAGGCGATAATGGAAATATAACTCTTCTTGATAAATTTATATTTTCCAAGCAAAAATCATTTCGATATTCTGATTTAAAAAGCAAGTTTTCATTATATTTATACCTTATATGTTTAATTTTATTGTGAGATAAAAAAAAATCTTGATTTTCTATTTACCATATCAGAATTTCTTACAATCATGATTAGACAGAATATTCGTCTTTGAAAAAGAGTTAAAAACGCTTCATACTTTAAAATATCTTCCATTTGAAGTGTTAATTTGAATGCTATTATTGATGATGATAATCGATGTTTGGAATTTAAAAAGAAAATGTTGAAATTTGGAGCAGAGGAATATTTCACATGAAAAGGATTGTGAACCAAAGGTTCAGGTTTGAGCTTTTTAATGAGTCTTTACCCGATGATACAATGTTCTCTATCATATTTAATCCTTTTCTGTAGAAATTTTCTGCTCAAGAAAATATCATTTAGCAATAAATTTGTATAGCAACAATTCTTGATTTCATTTAAGAGGAATGAGGGCACATTTTAATCAGAAAGCAAAGAAGGATATGGAGATAACGAACAGTATTCAGTCCATAAAACAATACAAAATAGGAGCAGAGCAAACATGAACCTCCGAAAAATCAGTGGTAGGATCAGGTGCCATGGTGGAGTGAGCATCCCCTGCTTAACATACATTTGTACTTACTCATGCTTTTACAATGTTAAGACATGTATATACAGCGAGCAATTGAAATTACCTCGTTGTTTTTTTAATATCCAAAAGATTGCTTACCAAAAACCTGGACTTCACATATTTCCAGGAAAACTCCACCGTTGTGTGTTTTATTTGTGTAAATCCATACGTACTGGGCAACTCCTTTACATTCTTTCTCAATAATTGGAGGTAGAGTTGTTTTTCCATCATCTTGATAACATGTGTTCTGAGGAAGAGTCTGGTTTGTATTTGAGAGTCGGATGTTAAATCCCTGTATTCTTCCTGTATTATATCCCTTAGCTAGTACGATAAGTAAATTGTAATAAAGAAGAAATTAAGAAATAAATAACAAGTTTAAAAAAAGCAATATTACAAGGTTAAAACGAACGTAATAAAAACTTACTTTTTGAGTCGTTTCTATACCAAAACTTGACAGAATGGATATTGTAGATCTTCCTAAGGTCGATCCTAAGCCAAGCCTCTTTGTGACCAGAAGCTGTATGCATGCAGTATGTATATTGATTTTGTCTGAAGTCTCCATCCACTGTCTTGTTTGGGTATCCACCATAACCAACAGAACTACTGCTTGCCCTGGTGAATCCGGGTCTTACAAGCTGATCTTTGTAAAAAAAAAAAAATACTGTAGAAGTATTTTTTACGCGTGGTATAAATTTACACTATGTACGCAATGACAATTTTTCCGCGGAAATTTGTCCAAGGGTATTTAATATAACTGTAAAGCATATAGTGACAGTCTTCAAAATCCGCGTAATGTTTTACCCGCGGATTAAACAGAAATTGAGATTCTGCGGAATTATGACCACGTGGAAAAAAAGTATGTCTACAGTAACGTGGATATTCCTAATCTGAATGCTAATTAACCTTTTTTTAGAGTACACATATTCTCTGTTATGATGTCATCCTGATAAAAAATGGCGGGGACATTTTCTATTGTACGCATGAAGATGATGTCTGGGAATTTTTTTGCATATGACTGGGGCAATTTTGCTAAAACTTCACAGAAAAGATGATGACAAGATGTGTTTGTGCTTAGATATTTTCAGTTTAAACATATCTATTATTGCCATGAAAAGACGAAAAATAAACTTTTTTATGAAGTGTTCCGGCTGATGTCTCACACAATCATAATGAGTCTTGAAAACAGTAAACAATAATTTCAAACAAAACATTTTTGACATGAAAGCAGAAGAAAAGAAAATTCTATGTTTCACTGTGTTGTCTGCATAAAATGAAATTGATAGTTAATGAGAGAAATACAAAACAACCTTTAATTTCTTTTTAGTTAAAATACCTATGTCTTAGTGGGTTCTCGTAAAAGGTTGAGAAAATCTTCACGAATTTTTACATTTATTCATTCATTCATTTATTCTCTCCAAAATCCATATGCATTATTCTGCTAAATTCAAAGGGTATACATATAGTTTTATGAACGTGCAAATGCAGTGACTTTATTTACATACACTTCCTGTATCTATAAAAGTAGAACTTCGATGATCGGAACTAATAATTTCGGATTTTATTTAATTTTCATCTTTCGAACGCCTCGATCTCTCGAACATTTCTTGCGGTCCCTTGAACTTCGAGAGATCGAGAGTCACATGTACATGTATCTCAGAATCAATTAATGAATACATGGTAATAAATAAAAAATAAACTTTGTTAGAGAATATCATTTCTTTTCATGTTCATGTTACTGAAAAAAAATTGCTTAAATAAGCATTATTCTTAAAAGGGCTGATTATGGCCGTTCCTTTTCCAGTAAGAAAATAATCAGATTAACACAGTAACACGTCAATTTATCTTCGACATATTGACAAGAAATGGAATAAGAAAAATATTATTTTTTTATACTGAAGTTATAATAAGTTTTCCAAACGTCCACATATACTACATAAATAATACCTACTATAGCAAGAAACATGGCAAAGAATATTAATCCAAATAAATCTAATGAATGGATTACACAGTCTTGTCTTGTTTAATTTCATCTTTGATCGGCACGAAATACTGTCGTAAAGAAAAGCACGTTCATATATAAGCCAGGATAATTTATTTTCTCTTTCTTTTCTTTGTATTGAGCTCTTAAACACACTACATTATTAATATTCAAACACTTCTGTTGTCAACGCCACTTTATATTATTTCTATCTATAAACAAAGCCTTCGTGGACGATATCCCAACGTGGATTTTCTGGGTTTTTTTACAGCTTTTAACAGCTTTACGTTTGTTTTTTGTTCGAATCCATGCAAACATTAAATCTCTTTTTTACAAAATTAATTAATATTTGAAGTGAAACAATTTTATTAAGGTTTGTTTCTGTTTGTTTTTTTTTTATTCCTTTCTGTTTGTTTCTTTTCTTTTTCTTTTTTTTTAGTTTGTTTGTTTTTAATTGCTATATGATGCAATGATGATAGAGGTGAATTTAAATGATACATGTATATATAACACTTAACAGATGCATGAGTGGAGATTTTTTTAAGTAGTGTAAGACAGTCTTGTTATCAAATTTGATTTCTTATCCATCCTTGTAGAGAGCATAGCGAGCTCAGTAGACTTACGTGTGAGAACAGAGGAAATTCGAAATGAAATTTGTATATACATCTCGCAAATTTTTTCTGGGAATCATTCCCAGAATTCCTTTACTACCCAATGTCCTTTGCAAAAATGAATAAATCTGATAAAAAAAAATAACAATAACGTAAAGCAAAAAAGGCTTTCAGTTTTTAGAAGTCTTTCAAGGAAACAGAAAATAGCTCTGCAATGTTTTTCGACCAAAATTGCACTAGTTCTATAGTTTCAATCAGACGCTCGGCCGTCTCCGTAATCTTCTACGAGCTCAATGACGTCGTGTGACGTCACATCTAGTTGAGATGTCCTGTGCGGCTTGATGCCTGAAGTGGCTGAACAATTTTTCAAGTGTTTTGATGGTACAACTGCGCTAGCCCCAACGGTCTCACCGTAAAACATATTAACACTTTAAAAGTGTTTTGTAAAACTTGGAATCATGTTGTCACGTGATTGCATAAAGTCAACTGTTAAATAGAGTTTACACAGCTGGACATATTTCTATCTTCAGTATAATTACATATTTTATTACTTTTAGTCTTTAATATACTTTTAAATCTATGCACTCTATTTGGATCCCATATTTTTAATTGTCCTTTTTTGGTCAAATTATTCTTACAAGTATCTAGCAGTGATTATCTTCAATTCATTCTGGATAATTGACAAAGATGTGATTCATTCTATGTTTTCGGAGACACGCTCACAAAGATCATACAGGCAATTGCTAAATTTTCTAAAAGTAAATTATGAAATGTTTTAATATTCAAACAATTATATTATTTCAGCATAGGTGGAAATCTTGCTGTCACAAATGTCATCTTAAAAGAGTCCTTACTATACAGGAAAAAAATGAAATAGAAGAGGAACATAATGATGTAGTACTTGAATATTCATCTAATGTTTATTTTTCTCTCAAGAATGTCAAGATGAACCAATTTAATTCTAAGGATTTAGGCCTACGATAGATAGTTTACACATTCAAAAAGGTTTTATGTGTAGAATTCTTCTTTCAATTTTCCTGTTACTTAATACAATTCTTTTTATATACTGATATTATTCATAACTATATATGAAGTAATATTAACAAAATTAGAATTGGACTGTCTCGCATCATGGTAGCTTGGTCGGTAGAGAACTTTCTCAATGATCGAAAGGTTGTGGATTCGAAATTGTCCAAAGTTAATAAAATAGTAAGCAATCGTTCATTTACTAAACTGCATGCGTTCGGCATTCGGAAAAAAAAACAGTCACATGCCCTTTGAATGAATCCTTAAACACCACATCTTTGCTAACCAAGAGTGTCTGATACGCTACTCTCCTCATAAACATTTGGCTTGCGGTGTTGTAAATGACAGGATTATTTTCGCCAGGGGACCTCGAATTTGCACAAGTTGCGTCATCAACGGAAATGAAAAAAGTATTTAAATCATGACTGTTTTTAAATGATAAAGAATAAGAAAGTATAAGTTTTTTAATTTGTTGTTTAAAGTGCAGATTTAAAGTTTCAATATAAATTCTACATTGTAGGTCATGTTTTGCACATACTAGTATCTTCAGAAGATTTTAGATGACACCATATTTATTCATAGAATAGCAATCAATTATTGATTATTGTGATTTTCATCCCGAGAGTAAGAGACAAAATATGTCACGAACCAAGAAAATGTAATTGAAAGAAATCGATATCAATATAGATCCCCTCAAATCACAACCTGGGATAAAAACAAACTTTTTTACACGACGTTTAGCAAGTGCTTACTAGAAGAGTGTTGCCATCAGAACCTCTTGGCTAGCGAAGATGTTAAAACCGAGGCTCCTTGTAACGACAGACTTTGGCACAATAAAGGTCCGTCACTGCACAATGGTTATGAGTTGCAACTTAAGGTCTGAATATGAAGCCTTCGTCAGTGTTTGGTGGCGAATGCATATGAAAAAAAAAACTATTTTTAACATATAGGTCACAGCGTAGTAAGAGGAATATGCATACTTAAAATGAAGCATCTATCTCTTAAGGTTTGAAAGCTAAGGGGAAAGTTTGAAAAAGCTATTTTTAGCTTATGGTTAATGGTAGAGGTCATAAGGGCATGTCATTGACTCTAATGCCATGTGAAATAGCTTAATTAGTTGAGTATTCATATCATTTTTATCAACTAAATCCACTGTAAACGTTAGAAACTATAATTAACAACTCCTAACTTATAGTTCACGATTGTAATTTATAGTTTACAGAGGTGAACCTATGTTTATCAACAAAATCCATTGCAAACGTTTTATTATGGGCCGATAAACTAAGATTAACATTCGCAAACGATATTTAACAACGATCTCAAATCTCTGAAGGTGCCTGTCGCTGATAATTGTAATCATCCCGATTGGAGCTGTGTAATTATTCAGTCTCTCAAAATCCTCACAACTAACATACAATATACAAAAGATATACAAGATATATACACATTGCAGCTCTTCGATACAACAGGTGAACCGATTGTTCCATTGATTTCTACAAATTGATTGATTTTAAATCCAACCTATTCAACAAGAAGTTGTAGCGTAATTGATAAGGTCGCAGATAATCAAGCAGGAAACCTGGGTTCGATTCTTGCCTTGTGCACATTTTTTTTTTCTTGCATTAATTTTTTTCTCCTTTTTTTATTCAGAATTAAATAAATTGAATGCTATTACATGTATATGAAGAAAAAGTGAAAAAAATTTAAATGTTTAGTTCGAAAATAAGCCGATTATTAAATAAAGAGATGCAACTGATTGATGACTGAAAGGTCACTAAAATGTATGTCCCATTCAGTCGACTGAATGGTAACTGAATGATCACCGATAGGTCACGGAAACGGGTCTTTTCAGTGACCTTTTAGTGACTATTCAGTGGGCATTCAGTTACCATTCAGTCGACTGAATGGTAGATTTTCATCCTGTGATATATGTTCTACATCCCATACTCTTTGGTTGAAAACCAAGGGAGTTATACATGTAGGCATAAAAAGTTTTAGTCAATCAAATTGCAGCGCATATGCATGCGCGTGATATCGTGACAATTATTATATATCATATTGTAGGACATTCTTATGCACGACTTTTTTTTTAAATTTCAAAGCATTTCGTCAAAGAACAAAAAAGATATTGAGATTTTTGTTTCAGCCAATTAGAGCGAAGTGCACGTGTATGCGCATGTGTTCATGTTGATTTGACAATGTCATATTACCTTTACTGTCCATTTATTCTTTTTTAATGAGTTTTAAAGCATATCATCAAAAATATAAGAGTTATAGCTTAATTAAGTATATAAGTCATTTTAAGCTCACGCACGTGCATGCATATGAGCACAAAATGACCTCCCTTCTGCACACCTACACTACAAATGTATTAACCCTAAAAAGGTTTACACTTTGTTGGGTGAACAGTTTCTGAGAACACAAGCGGACAAAAAAGTACTTGAGAACAAATAAGAAAAAAATAATAATTATAATAACTAGAGTAAAGCTCGTTGCAAATTAACGAGTAGGACTTCCGTCCTGTTTGACCGAGAGTAACTTTCATTTAAGGAAAAAAAGTAATGGCGTCCAAAAATGGTTTCCTCCAAATTTATCCTAATTATTGCAAAAGAAAGCAATTTTTGCTACTTCCGGTTTGACCGGAAGTGTCGTTGACGGACGGGAAATAAAGTTTTATGCTTCCAGTGACATATGTTGCATAAAAACTTGTTAAGTACGGCAAAAATATGCTTTTTTAACTACTCCCAGTTTGATCTGAAGTTACGCACTCGGACGTAGTCTGACGACCCCAATAGATTTAGTTTTACATTTTAAACAATGTTGCTTTCTTTAATATTTAACAAATACTTAATACTTTAAAAGATATCAGGAAAAAAAATTCTGGCCCTCTAGATCCCTTATTTTAGGAGCCAGCCCTTTTTCCGAGCTATTATTTTAAAGATCTTAGAATTCTACAATTCTTTTGTTCTATATGTATTTACAATAAACTTCCAGGTAAAAAGATATTTAAGAAAGGGTGTTCGAAATTTTGAAATTCGAGATATGACTTTTTAGTATTTTTTTATTCTCTACCTGAACTGAAAGTTTCATAAAAATCGACCGAGTCGTTTCCGAGAAATCGCGTGCACAAAATCGGTAGGAAAAAAATAATAAATATAATGGAAAAGAAACCTAAGAATAACAGTAAGGTCTCATGCTGAAGACGAAAGACCTTAACGAGAAGGTCTGCTATTGCAAGCAATAGCGTATGTCACCCCGATCTGGAGAAAGACTTTAACTTTTTCAACACTAAAACAATACACATTAGCTAAGCTTGGAAAAACCATCAACTCGTATCAGTCCTTTAAGTACTTTGATTTAAAAATCCAAGTTAAAGTAGTTTCGATGGAAACTATCGACAATTTGCAATTTTTAAATTCAATGAGCACAATTACAGATACTAATCATTACATAAATAAAATTTTATGAAGAATGTCCAAGGGACCAGAAA